TGAAATCATTTTTATTTTATTGTGGTTAGTAAGAGAACAGAAACCAAAATAGTGAACTAAACTCTGATTACGTTGACAAAGACAGTACCGGAAGACGAGATTTCTGGTCTTAGTGAAGATGGTTTACTTTTATACCAGTACCAGTACTATAAATGGACACCAATGGTTACAAAACATTTCTCAAATGCTTGAGTCTGAGAAATCTTTTTGACCTGATTCAAACACCAGAATTTCAGCCATATGCTTTTCTATGTATGAGTATCTTGAAAGGAAAGATTAAGAGTTAAATTTGTCTTATTATAAATCCAAAAACTAAAACATAGGACCACATAAGATTCTGCTAAACAAGGAACATATAATAGTCAAGTCTTTCTTACCCAAGGCAACAGAAATCCAACTTATAAAAATTACCCTCTGATTAGTCTGATACCATTGCCGATGATGTAGGCCGGCACCAGTGCTGATCACGCAGATTATCAGTCGATGGCTCAGCAAAACTCTTTGCCTAACGTTGTGTACACTGGTAGTTGTCTTGAAATTAACTTAACATTGAACATGATCCTGCACCCACATTGCCTCATACCCTTTGCTCCAAATCAAATCTTTGTGTGCCAGCATAGAGAAAGAAGCTGTCCTGATTCTTTGTTTATTTAATCTATATTTTACTTTGTTTTCTAGAATTGAACAATGGAATGGATGGGAACATGACATTTTCTTTCAATTAATGAGTTACCAGTACATGATAATTTACGTTTAAAATTTAATGTAAGATTTAATTGTCTTAAAAAAAAAATAAAAAAAAAAAGAATAAAAACCTACCAAAGTGATAAGAGCAGAGGAAGAAGACAGGTTTTAATTTTAATAGTGAGCAAGTCCAGTCTCACATGCAAGGCAGGTGATTTTTGCAGCTAACACAATATTACCCCAAAGATAAATGTTATCAGAAATCAGACAAGAATGATGTCATGTACATATGTTCACCAAAATACAGACGTCATGTACCCATGTCGGTACATGGGGTAATTATGATTTATGAAGCAATGAACATCACTTTGAAAGCCAGAAGAGGGACAAGACAAGAAAGGAGGTACCCGTACAAGACATACATATAGGGAAGAAGGTACAATTTGAAGGGGGTCAAGACAAGGAAGGAGATACAAGACTAGACAGGAGGTACAAGACAGGGAAGGAGGTACAAGACGTTTGTTTAAATGTAGTTCCGCAAAAAAATAAGATGATTGAAATCTTGTAATGTTTTTTAATAAATACTCAACTTTGACATCAATAAATGATGATTCCCCAACAAAAAGCACAATGATATCTATAATAAATGAAGCTACAATGGTGACAGTATGTACAATCTCATCAAATGCATAATAATGATATTTATCACAATTATAATTATAATAAAATAGAAAGTTTCATCAACGAACTGCACTAGACCTTACATCTCCCCAAGGGCTGCAACATGCTACATGTCTGACCAAAAAGATAAAGAAAAAAGGGTCATTGAGCAAAACAGGAGGAACTGCGTCCATTTCATTCAGGCTATGTCACAAATGTTCAGGGGGTCAGCATTGTAATGAAATGGTTCTCTGATAGTTGGAAAACTCTGTTTAAATGAATGCAACAGACCATAATATTAATATAAACAGAGATGCCGGCCATGTAGGAGAAGCAGAGATAATTTGCTACATACCATACCACCTGTTTTACTAACATTTTCTGGCTCAGATGATAATCACTTTTCCAGTACAAGAATTGACATCAAACTCACATTTCTGGTCATTTATCAGACATTTCATATAAATATTTATCTCAGATACAAAGGATCAATCAAAGTTTTATATCTCATTTAACCCTCTTGAGACGGAGCCCTTTTCACAAGCCCTGCACTTACTTTGCAAAACAATTTTTTTTAAAATATAAAAATGTATATATTATTGGAGGAAATTGAAAGAACTAATACAATCTTGAATCAAACGGAAACCTCAAAATTTATGCAAATGAGAAATCCTGATTTGCATAATTTATGCTTGCAATTTTTTTTTTTACACTTATAAATAAGCATGTTTTACTTGCACAATTTTGGTGAATTGTTCAAATTTTGAAGACTAAATAAGTGCTACCGGTAACAAACATATGAATCACATTCAATGGAAAAAACTGCATTAAATATTCCCCTCTGGACACTTATGTTGTGTGGCCCGTGTCCAGGACCTATATTTTTTTAGGCATTTATAAGGGTCAATTGGTACTAAACAAATTTATATTTAATGACAGAAAACTGCAATCTATCACGGAAACCACCACTGAAATGCAGAGATGAGCAAGAAATGTGAGAAGCAATTCTCGAGACTTGTATTATTCTGAGTGGCCGAGCGGTCTAAACTGTCCCAAACCAAATAGCTGGTGGTCAGGAGTTCAATCCCCATCAAAGCCAACATCTCAAGCACACCGGGTGGATTGGACTCGATAGCCTTGGACAGTTGCCGTCCAAGGCTAACTCTGAATTTAAACCAGGAGCCAGAATGATCAACAAATTGATCGTGGGCCCCTAAAATATAAGAAGAAGATTCCTTTTTTTGACACTGACTCTTGGGCAGACTGATAGGCCCAGTTGTCTCAAGAGGGTAAATAATGGACAAATACCTAAAAGTGCTTCGGCAAATTAGGAATTTTTTACTAACATAAATTGCAGTACAAACAATTAATTGATTAATTTTTATAAATGATTAATTTAATTAAATTAAGTTCCATCCTGCAAATGCAGGTGTAGTTTGTTTTTTAAACTACTAAAATTCATACAAGTCAAAACTTGGACAGTTCATGACTTGTTTCACTTTGATTTGTAAGGGATTCTTTATATCACTTTTATCATTACATATTTGATATCACAATTGGCTGATCTGATTTCACAGATTTGACTCATCAATTTACATCTTCCTTTGGCTTCTATGTTGACTTGGCTGTGATACCAAAACTTGGTCCTAATCTCAGGAAAAACTTCCGTAGCGTTGAAACAATTTCAGGTTTCAAGGGGAACATAATCGTCTCACACAGCAGAGGGAAATATGCACTGGCATGAATTTTAAACTGAAATGTAACAATTGTTAAATGGGTAATCCATTGAAGTAACATTTATTTATTTATTCATTCAGTGACAATTTAGGCTGCACACCTCTTTTGAAATTGATAGTTGATATACACATAATAACAATGTTATCAATAACATCTCAAAACATATGTAAGATTATGTTGTACTAGTTGTACCTTTATGTATTGTATTTTAAAAATTAATTTAATGACTATTGGATGACATGCTCATAGATGACATGACTATAAATCCTGCACTAAGATGGTAGAATCCTCAATGAAATTTTGCATAAATTTTTATTCCATTAACTCATTCCCAATGATTGCCACTAAATCAGTCCTTTGAGAGATTAGACGCATGCATCCAAATGCATCCTGGTGCATGGCGACAAACCTCTCTCATTTTTAGTTAAAAATAGCAATGAAATCTCACACCCCCTGAAACCTCCGGCAAGGGCGTGATTTCAATTTCAATTTAAAAACCCAAAGTTTTTACATGTCTGTATGTAGCATGTGTTTGTCCGAGGTGCCTAACAAAAATCGAATTTTTGGTCATTGTTCATTAGTTTTTTGCTGCTTATGTTATATTTTTTTAATTAAAACTTATTCATTTTTTGATGCATTTGTCCTTAATTCATTAACATTAATTGATATTTAGCAGCTTAAAAATATTTTACAAATGTAAACCAATGGCAAAACGGAGTTAATTCCCTTTCGCAGGCATCTAAATTAAGTACGGAAGTAACACTGCCGTAAGGAATGAGTTAACTACAATCTAGCATGCCACTATGAACTCACAAAAACACCCAAGTTCAAGTCCCAACCTAATTGTGATAGATATTGTTGTTACATTACTGTTCAATCTTCCCTACTCATGTTTGACTAAGGTACTCAACTTACTGTGATTACTGTGACTTCTGACATCCTAAGTAATCAATATCTTCCCTCCTTATGCCAGACTTACCCTGTCTTCTGACATCCTAAGTAATCATGTCTTCCCTACTCATGCTAGACTTACCCTGTATTCTGACATCATAATTAATCATTATCTTCCCTCCTCATGCCAGACTTACCCTGTCTTCTGACATCCTAAGTAATCGTATGAGCAGCAGCAGTAACAAACTGCCCCAAGCTTCTCTGTGACTGTCAGACTGAAGATTCAGGAAATACTCGAGGGCTTCTTTACAAACACTGAAGAAATGAGTGAGAAATTGATGGTTCATTTGATTAGGTCATGTTTGATACTGCTAATTGTGTATTACATCCTTACAACAGTCGTTTTAATCGATAATATCAACAAAAAAATCCATAAAAAATGGTGCTAATGGTTTAGATCCATCCATGACATTGAACAACTAATGATCAGAGTGCTGGACTACGATAAAGCTTTCAAGGGGATTAATGATTAATGGGACACAAAAAGTTGGTGTCAATCAAACAATATTAATATAGGTTAATATAGGTTCAGCTTTAATAATGATCCTAAAGAATACACAAATGTTTCGGTGAATGCCTTCATCAGTACAAAAATCTTTCACAAGCATAAATTAAATTATATGCATGGTTTTATTTACACAAATTGTTTGTGTCTTTAATATATCCATAAAAATATGGTATTAGCGATTTGTATCTGAAGAACTGTGTTACAGCACTAAAAATATCTTCATATTATGAGTAAAAATAAGATGAGGAGCAGACTTCCAATTCTTAATAAGGTGTTAAATTGAAGCACAGTGACAGAAGTTTGCAAGTGTGGTAGCAAGTTTCCTTTCAATACTGTACAAGCTTTGCAACACTAAATTACCCTAAAAGCTTCTGTTCCACTTCAGGCCATGATGTCTGTCTATTGTTATCGTCATAGACTCTGAATAGAATTCTGAAGAGACACGCCAAGCTTTGCGTTTCTTGTTTTAACAAGTTGGGCTTGGCTTTGCCTTTGAAACCTGGTAAACAACGTACAAGTTAAGTTAACCATTCAACAAGATTACATTCAGTGCAAACATCTCCAAAAAAAATCAAATAATTTTAATAGTAGCAAACCTGACCAGATACTTTCTTGGCGAGATACTTTCCTTGTAAGATGCTTTCTTAGCCAGATACTTTCCTGGTCAGATACTTTCCTGGCCAGATACTTTCCTGGTCAGATGCTTTTCTGGTCAGATAATTTCCTGGTCAGATGCTTTTCTGGTCAGATAATTTCCTGGCCAGATGCTTTACTGGTCAGAAAATTTCCTGGCCAGATACTTTCACCTAAAACTAAAAGTAACTTACTGCTTTATAAATGTAAGTCAATAAAATAGTTGTATTTTCTCATCAGCTCAAAATAAAGATTTAAAAAAACCCAAGGAAATGAGCAAAACAGTATGGGAAGACCTGAAAATAAGAACACATTCCATTGAAATTCCATGCTTTGTTTAGCACATTTCTATTTTTCTAACCTCCTTGCAGTCTCTCCCCATTAGTGTCATAAAAACAGCACTTTTAAAAAAATTCAATTTAGCATCAGATATAATAATTATGATATTATCCTCAAGTTTTTTTTTCAATTTGTCAAGCACTACAAAATTTTCAAAACATTAGATTCTGTCTTCAGCCTTGACCTCCTACCGATGCTTTGATCACTTTAACATCATCTCAAGAGAATGTTTGTTCACTTACCAGCCTTCCAGAGAATGTTCCTCTGTTCATGGTTAGAGTTGAAAGATTTGGCAAATCTGTGAGACTCAAGCAGACAGTCAACAAACAAGAGCAGCTGACCAGAAGACAAGTATTGATACATGCCTTGCTCATCTCCAACATGTTCATGGTAAGAGTCGGTCAGAGAGTCACTGTCGCCTCCCTATGACAATTACATTAGTTGTTTTATTAAATAAATTATGATGATGTTTTTTGCTGCTCTCACCCTGTCAGAGTATATTTAACCCATTCGCTACTAACCACTAACACCAAAACACACCTTGAAATACTAAGCAAGGGGAGATCACTCTCAAAAAAACATGCACCCCCATGTTAAATAAAAATGTTTTTAGCACCCCCATGTTAAATAAAAATGTTTTTAAACAACTAAACATCAACTTAAAATGACAAGACATACATTAAAAAATTGGATTACCTTTCTAAAAATGTATAGGTTTGTATACTTTAATTGACAAATATATTTTAAATAAATTCTGGAAAAAAAGTTTTCAACTTTACACAGCTTTTTCTTAGCGTTGACCCCCATTGTTTGTCATTTATTATTGTTCAAGTGTTTCGTGGAACTTTGAAAAACAGTAGTCCTTATGTAGGTGGACCTGACATAAATGACAGCCCGTTGTCGTCTCTCTGGTTCTACCGCTGTCCATCTTGTTGCCATCAACAGAGCACTGGTAGCACCTTCGTTTGCGGCCAGGCATTGGGCTTAACATGTGCTGGCTGTTGTACAGGCTGCATCTGCCAGAGACACTTGGTGTGTCAGGTTGCCTGCATTGTGTAGCTCTAGCTCCAGTCAAAAGCTGGTCCAAAACAGCTTTTCTAAATAGCAGATGATTTTTGGCAGGAGAGTCTGCGGCATCTGTTGGTTTGGCGCTTTTCATCAAGAGAAAGCTGTTGACCATTGAGAGGTCTATGATGTACCAAAAGAGATACCTCCACCACTTCGTAGATGCTCTTCCCACAGGATAGTAGGCACGATGTTGGTCTGACAAGTCAACACCAAACATACCAGAGTTGTAGTTGACAACAGGCATTGGGATCTCTGTGTCCACCATTCCATGTTTCGACCGGCGTTGCACTGTGGTAACCACCGGGTCAGAATTTGTTGAAAGTATGTTGACTTGCCGTTTGTCAGTCCATTGTGTGGCAACCATTAGACCCTTCTGTTTAATTTTGACACTACCCCTCTTCTGTTTTGATTTGGGTAGTGGCCAGCCTTTTCTGTTAGGTCTAATGGTTGCACAGCTGTACGTCTTCCGTTGTAGGAGGTCCTCTGCGAGTTTGGGGGAGGAAAAGAAGTTGTCAAAAAAAACTTCATGGTACCTATCCAGGTATGGTTCCATCATGTTCATGACAACATTATATCCGAGTCCATGCTCTGATGGATTGTTATTTTTGCCGGTATAGACTTGGAAGTTAAGAATATAACCGGTTTTGGCTTCTGCGCAGCACCAAATTTTGATGCCCCATGGAGTTGGCTTGTTGCTCAAGTATTGTTTGAAGGATAATCGGCCACGAAATCCAACCATTGCCTCATCCACTGACAGCTGTCGTTGTGGTTTATACGCTGTTTGGCACACACTCCTAATATGGTCCAGTAGGGGTCTGACTTTGAACAGGGGATCATAGTTGACACTAGTTTTGGCAGGAGTGAGTTCGCTGTTCGTGATATGAAAATATTGACGTATTTTTTCATATCGGGTGCGCCCCATAACATCTGCAACTGCAGGAACCCTCCATAGTTTGTCACTGGACCAGTACAATTTAGTAGTGGGCAATTTATGGAGCCCAAACATAATGTTGATGTATAAAAATTTGTAAATGTCCTCATTAGTGACGGCCTTCCACTGAGTGTCTTTTCGGCCCTTAGCAGTCTGCTGTTGCTCAGCATATCTGTTGGTTTCCACTACAATAATTTCCACCATGGCATCGGTCAAAAACAGTTTGAAATAGTCAATTGGATTGCTTTCAATAGGAAGGTTATGGATGCCACCTTCTATCTCACGAAATATTTCCATCTTATCTGTTACACTGGTCAAATTGTCTGACCAAGACTCAGTGACAGTGTCTGGGTCGCTATCATCAACGTCACTTTCATCGTCATCAGTATTATTTTCTGATTCTGAATCTAATGCGTTTGGATCAATATCAATGTCTGATTCATCCTCATTGTTAGAATTATTATCTACCTGATAATTAGAAGTGGAGGCAGCAATCAAAGAGTCAAGAAATTGAAAAGCCATTGCAAAATAATTCACAAAACAGAGTCACAAATTCGCTAAGCTTAGACCGACTTTAACACCACGCAGCTTTCAAACCGTAAATGGTAGAAACATCCGGTTTTTTTTAACGGAAGCAGCTCTATTCCCACATCCTTAAATTCCCAAAGCTATTCGCAAGGCAACAATGCTTCTCGCGATATTGTATGTTATGTGTACGTTGCTAGGCGTCATGGCGCATTCGGTCGCATTAGTAGCAAGGCGGGTATGTCGCATTTGGTCGCAATAGTAGCGAATGGGTTAAATTATTTATGACAGAAGAAAGTTACATTTTAAAATGAATCTCCTGTACAAAATTGTATATGAGAAACTAAACTTGTTGAAAATAAGGAATGTATTAGCATTTAAAAATGTAAGAATGATTTAAACTCTATTTTAGACTGCTACTTGAGCAACTGCCAGATTCTCAGCATCCTCTCTCCGACTTGTCGCAGGGAAGAAAACAATGTTGTCTATTGTCTGAATGAGTTCAAGTTGCACGACACAACGAATCAACAGGCTCTGGAACAGCTGCTGGTCACTGGCAGTCTCTGTTAGTTGGAAGAAAAATAAACAAGGCATTTATATATCTAAGTCTCTATTGGTTGGAAGAAAAATCGGCCGACATTCTTGTTCTGTACTGTGGCGGCCGATAAAAAAAACGGTCCGATAGCAACTTCAAATCCAATATTTAACCGGAATTATAGCCCTTTCCTTTTATTAATAATTAAATCATCTTCCTGTTCAAGCTGTTTCTTGATAATTTAAAAATAAACACTTTTTAATCAGAGTTTTATTTCTCTGTTTTTTTTCAAAGCTAAAATGGTTGAAGCTATGGCTGGGCCTTCAGTGCAAGAACTAATAGAAATATGTTTGAAAGCTTTTTAGGAGAGCTTTTAAGTGATACTGATTTTAACATTCCACATGACGATATCAGTTGAGATTATTCTTCTCGTAAATTTTATAATAGTCTTAGTGAAACTGAAGTAGGCCTACTGAGGCTACTGTGAGACTTCGAGCCAAGCCCGTAGGTTGGGCAAGGACTGACTAATTTTAGTCATAGAAGCTACAGATTATAGTTCAGAACTAATACATTTTATAGTTAAACAACCCAAATCAGTTCCAAAGTTCCTTTTTAAATGTTTATTAGTCAATAATAACTATTTTACCTGAGATTTTGTATTTTGTACTTGGTTTTAGCAGTGGTCCTAGTTTCTTATATAAATGACCTAAAATTGCTTTCAGATGTTTGTTTGTAATCAAAACCTTAGCAAACTATACATTTTCTTAAAGATAAATGAATTGGCTACAACATTTAGATTTGTGTTTTAAGTGTATCTATAAAAATTAATGATGTTATGAGCACTTGAAAGCAAGACATTTTTTCGATTTTTGTCTCTTGAGAACTCCAAAGTCAAGGACACTGAGCAAAATTTTTTATACAGGGTGGGCAATATGGTCAACTTTATCCCCATCCATTTACCTTTCTAAAAATATATACTTATAGGGGTCTTGTATCAATATTTCTATGTCATTTAATGCAATTTCAAAAGGCACTCAAAACGCTCTGAAAAGCTCCACACTACAGAATGATGCATGCCACAGTTCGTGGGTTAAGTAAACCAGGCATTTATCTATCTAAGTCTCTATTGGTTGGACTAAAATAAACAAGGCATTTATTTCTAATGGTAGTGGAGTTTGGGCATTGAAGGCGGGGTTAAAAATCAACTTGTCATAAACACAGCAAGAGATATTAACGTTGATTGAGACTCTTTCATTGACTGAAAGTTGGGGCACTTTGATTCCACACAGGTTATTTAAATATTCCTCTAAACTTAACAGAATATGTATAATGGTTAGGTTCTGGACTCAGAAACTTGAGTCATTTAAAACATAATTTTCAAATATGGATTAAATTTAAACAGCAAAACTTACAAATTAAAAACAATATAGACAGACACGTTTGGTAAGCACAAAAGTGCACATTTTCCATGGCCAAACAGCAACCGACATCATCTACATCAGCTGTTTTTTTTAAATCTCAAATTTTTTCTCTTACAACACATTAGAACATTTTTAATACTTAGTCATACAATTCAGGCATTAAGAAATATAATGACAGTTTCAGTGAGTAGCAGCGTCATTGATTTGATATGATAGATGGAATCCCAAAGTGTTGTCATTGCATTTGAAATATCCGTTACTTTATAGGTGAAATGACCAAAATACAATTTATATTCTTTCATTTCATTGTTGAAAAAAATGTATGAACTTTTTGAGAAACACCTGCTCAAGCCAGAGCTCTACCCATGTTTTTATGTGTCAGAGCTCTACCCATGTTTTTATGTGTCAGAGCTCTACCAATCTTTTTATGTGTCAGAGCTCTACCAATCTTTTTATGTGTCAGAGCTCTACCCATCTTTTTATGTGTCAGCCAAATCACCAAAATCTATTAAAAAATGCCACACATCTTGACTCACTCTTGATAGGCCTCTGTTCTTGCCACTCTTGTGACACGGCGCTATGAACACTCTGTATGCTCTCAGCACGACCAATACGACCCGTCTCAGAGTGGTAGTCATCCTGCAGCATGAACGAGTTTAATGTTATAGCAATCATTGAAGGAAGGATTTGAGTCCAATCTAGTTAGAACTATTCTATATGTTCTGATGTCTAAGTAAACTTGGTGGTTAGAACTATTCTATATGGTTCTGATGTCTAAGTAAACTTGGTGGTTACAGCTATTCTATATGGTTCTGATGTCTAAGTAAACTTGGTGGTTACAACTATTCTATATGGTTCTGATGTCTAAGTAAACTTGGTGGTTACAGCTATTCTTTATGTTCTGATGTCTAAGTAAACTTGGTGGTTGGAGCTATTCTATATGTTCTGATGTCTAAGTAAACTTAGTGGTTAAAACTATTCTATATGGTTCTGATGTCTAACTAAACTTGGTGGTTACAGCTATTCTATATGTTCTGATGTCTAAGTAAAACCTTGCAATGCAAATAATGTGCCAAACTGAAGTGGTTGGGATGAAATCAATAGATAATAGTGACCAGAATTGGGATAAACATAAAAGAAAATTATCATAGAATAAACATAATGTGGGTAGGCAATTAATAAGTTATGGAAAACCAATGACTTTGCACCACGCTAACAGTTCACTAAAAATGTTTGATGAGAAGCCAATTGTTCTCACATGATTGTCTAAGATGATAGGCGCATCATTTCGAACAGGTGATGTCATATCTGAGAGACATTCTGGTTGCCAACTCAACAGTCTGAAAATAGTGGGAAAATAATGTCAATATAGAAAATTCTTCTTTTTCCTACCATTTAGTTTTTAAGACTTTTTCTGTTAAAAAAATTATTTGTACAAAATAAATGGATTTATTAACTACATGTAGAAAAAAATAAATGGATATATTAACGACATGTAGAACAAAATATCTGTCTAATCCTACTATTACTATTATTTCCGCCTATGCAAATGTCCACATCAGAACCTCAGGCAACAGGATACATGCCCAAATGGCTACTCGATCAGTATGATCATGAATCATTGGCATTTTAAGTAGCTAGTGTTTGTCTTTCTAGTCAATGAAAGTAGAACTACGTACAAAATTGTAAGACAAACTTAAACTAGAAAAGCATGGAAAAACATTCATTTATCTACTTGTGTGGGATGGTGGACTTGAAAATGTCAAGCATACAACTGCAGGTTTGGTCCCAGGCATCAGATGAAAATTTACTTCCGTTTGAAATGACAAGGTTCTCTAGGCAGTTGGTGCCAGACCTATCAAGATAAAATAGGGAAATAGATCAAACCTTTTCATCACAATGAAAAATACAATGAAATATAAGACAGCGAATAGTTTGATAAATATTTTTTTGAAAAAAAAAAATCCTTATTTTAAAAAGCGCATCATTACCTGGCCAGCTGTTCGTTATCCTGAGCCACACACCATTGCAACATTTGATAAAGGTCTGTCAACAATAGCGGTGATAACTGCTCATAATACTGTGTGAAAACATCTACAATAGCATAGAGGGCGTGGTTGCATGTAGTTGTCATCCATTCAGCTTTCTGCAAACGGAACAAGAACTGATCATAGGTGCATGGGTAAACAGATGCTTCTGTCAGATTCTATTTTAACACTGGGTCAGTGGTTTTCAACAAGTCAATTGTGACAGAAAAGTTCACAAGTGTGACACGTGATTTTGATATAAATTGAAGTGTTGAGGTTTTATTTGGGGTATTTTACTTACAATATAATTATAATGCAAAATTGTAATCTTATTGTAACAAAAATCTCTTGCCATCAATTTTGAAAGGTCATTCATTAACTAATCTAATCTTATGTTCTTTGATCATTGCTGCACACCAAATCAAATTTTGAGGCTTGAACGGCACACCACAGATTTTTCAAACTAGTTTAGTGTCGTAGGGTGAAAGAGTTGAAAATCATTGCTCTGGACCAAACTAAAACGTGTTAAATAAACTACTTTGTTCTTGAACTGAGAAAACACTGAAGAAATTCCTTCTCTGCAAGGCTTAAATAAATAAGTTTTGTGAATTTACTTCAAAATATATTTATTACATTAAAATTTTTATTTGTTGTATTTTTCTTAGTTTGCAAGATATGTTGTTATTTTACTTTCATTACCCCTAAATAAATGCTGAAAAATTAGTAATTCATATAACTTTAATTAATTCAGTTTCTAATAGTCCCCACCGTGCAATTCAAACAAAAATAAATTATTTAAAAAATGTCATTAGTAAATAAATTTTAAAATATTTATTTGACGTATTAGACTAAACAAATGTTTTTAAAAAAAATTTATGAAAAAAATGTATGCCTATTAAAAGCAGAACGTTTATATATATACTACACCCGAAATTGTTTTGAATGAAATAACTCCCATGTCAAAGTTTATTTAAAGACTTGTTAACGTTTGTAAAAAAATATCAGCCCACAAATCCAGGATAGTGCTCAAGTGTTTACAAACCTCATTCTGTTGTTCAGGAAGCTTCATGACGTCAAAGATACGGAAAACTATTTTGAACAAATCCTTCCACCAATGGGATTGAAAGCTTTCTCCATAAGTCTTCATAATCTCAAACATCACAGTCAGGCCTCTGGCGATGGACAACAAAGGTTGTTAAGCTAAAATTGGATTTCAGGTCATTGGTTTTGAAACCGATAACCAGTGTTGATTTTCACAAACAGTAATCGATTTCCAAAAGACCTATTTTGTTGAATTCATGCACTTTTTATTATTATTTAATATATTTTAAAACACTTTAAAAAAATTTAAAAAACATATGGTTTAATTATAATATAGGTAGTCACTAATTATTAGTAATCTGTTAAACTATAACTGACACTTTAATTTTGTAAAATATAAAACATGTAGGGAATAATTGAAATGTATTGTAAAAACGAATAAATGGTTTAAAACGGTTTCAGAAAACCGATAACAGGTTTACCAAAAAAAAAAAAAATCTGATATATTACCATCCTTAATAACGATATTAATAGATTATCTTAGAAAAATTGTATATTTACCCCTGCTGTGAAAATTTAGCGCTTCTAAGTCACTATCTAAATTAGAATTTTTCAGAAATAAAACGGATCCGAATATTTTTAATAGCAAAAATGAAAATGGGGACAGCACCCTAACCAACATCTGTATGCATGGCTTGACGTTGGCCTTCTCACACATCATATCCTGGGAGGAGGCTACTCTTAGTTGCATGTTTTTGTAATAAAATAATCACAAAAGTGCAGATGGAAAATGATAGAGTCCCTTGAGTAAAATGTAAGCCTACCTTGTCCTCACATCAAGCTTACATCTGTTGATCACACACGACAACTCAAACAAGACAGGGAACCATCCTTTCACCCAAACTCTGTCTTCTTCAGGCACAGAAATCTCTTCTCCCGCATGCTCTTTGAACATCTGAAATATGTCAGAAAGCTATCAGCACTAGAAATGTAAGGTTAGAAATGTGAGGCTGACGAGGCAAAATCAAAGTCCATTCTCAAATCATGTGCAATCATTATTTCTGACAGTAAAAAAAAAAAATGGAATTTTTGTAAAAATAATACAATTGAACAATTTGATATAAGATGGTATGATTTCTTCTCCATACTATTTAACATAAAAAGTCCAGTAATTTAAATCCAATTTCATATTTTCTGTGGAAACACACACATGTGGTGCAAGGAAAAGCCCGCATGGAATGGAAGTCTTTTTGATCAGACAGCAAAGGAAAATGAAGAGTTACATTTTCACAGAAAAAGATTTATGCCTTTTGTGGGAATAAGAACTGCCCTGTCTTTCTCCAGACGAATATTTGCTTGAGGGGCATACTTAACAACCGCCACCCCCCCCTCTGAGATGCATAATTACAACCCCCTGGGGTGTCTTGAGATGCATACTTATTCCCCTAGGGGTCTTGAGATGCATACTTACATTAGGTTTTTCTGCCACATACTTGGCACAGTTTCTGATTAGCCTTATGGCCTCCATACTGGTGTCAGGAAATGCAGCATTGCAGGCAAACTCTGAGAGACACTTGACTGCATCTTGGAAGGAATCGATGATTGCAGCAAAATGTTTCTCAAATACGTTTACTGGAATAGGAAGAAAAGAAACAGAGACACATTGGCCTTCAGCAGTAAAAATATTGTCGAATTATTCTCATAATTATTCATACAAAATAGATCCAAGAAAAAATATTAATTTGACAAATGTATACGGCTTCATGCTTAAACAACCTACAAAGGAATTATTAATGAAAACTCTTTCTTTGAAAATGTCCCCGTCTCATTATTCGTTTAACCCTTACAGCACCAGGCAGGTCTTTTTGCAGTGACCTAATTTTTTCCCCTGTGACCCAAGTGTGTCTTTTTGACACATAGATGGGTATCTAAAATAAACACAAAAATGAGGATATAACCTTCCACCACAGTCTCGGGCAGAATGTTTATTCGTTAGGGGAGTAGTCAAATTTTATTTTGTCTTTTAAAGTATGAAAATCGACCATTTATTGAGGTTTTTGTGCGGATCTGTATTTGTTGTTTCCATGGCGCCACCAAGTGCAATTGCTGATTACGACTTACGCCCACTTGATGAAACCTTTTGTTCTGAAACTATTATTGAACTTTTATTGGGATTAGATGATTCTGATGCTGATGAGGAAGAGGGGGATGACATTGCTGAAGGAAGTAGGCCTACTATAGCTCAAAATTTACGCCTACAAGAGCCTGTAGGTTTGACAGGTTTACGACCTAGTGCAAACGTAGATATTGATTTAGATGAAGATTGTCTGGAAGGGTGGAACAAAGAGGCCCCCATACCTCCTAAAACTCTGTATAATCCCATAGTGTGCCATTGCCAATGACAAGTGTGAACAAAACACATAAGCATTTTTGACACCCTTATCCATTACTGAACAAATAATTCTCTACATGTTATTATCAATTCTTTAAAACAAAATATTACAAAATAATTTTCAAATCTATCAAATTTTGGCTCATTCCAAAATAATATCTGGGCCACAGGGAATAAGTAGCAAAATAATGTCTGGGCCACAGGGAATAAGTAGCAAAATAATGTCTGGGCCACAGGGAATAAGTAGCAAAATAATGTCTGGGCCACAGGGAATAAGTAGCAAAATAATGTCTGGGCCACAGGGAATAAGTAGCAAAATAATGTCTGGGCCACAGGGAATAAGTAGCAAAATAATGTCTGGGCCACAGGGAATAAGTAGCAAAATAATGTCTGGGCCACAGGGAATAAGTAGCAGTGGCCAGTACTGAGGCTATACATAGCAAACAAAGTAGGTCCTTACCAGAAGGGTTAACCATTGACTGGTGTTAACAGTTATTTTTAACTCACAAATAATTTTTCCTGTGGTCTGAAATGACAGATCTACAATGCCCTCATCATGATCAGATGCAGCAAGGTGGAAAACACTGAAAATGTTTTTCCACCCAGACTTGATGTTTGCAGCCTGCGAATTCACCATTTGTGCAACACACCTCACAACCATGTCACGGATAGCTGGTGATCTGGAGGGGGAAAAAAGAGGCCAAAATATATAACAAATAGACAAAAATAAATAAGATATGTTGATACCAATCAAAAGTTGTGCACTGAAAATTGTAATAGACCCTATTAAAAAAAAAGTTTACTCTTGCAAATTCACTTACTAAAACTGAGCTAGAATTAGATTTAGAACACAACTATAAAGCAGTAACTCTATCCAACTGTAATTTTAACACTTATACATGTTTCTATCACATACTTATTTCTTTTCATGATATGCTCAAATGGACGCAAGAAATCTTTCTGAAATCTGAAGTTGGCAAACTCTCCTTTCTCAATGAATTTCATGGACAGCTGACGCAAGGAATCCACAGCAAAGAAAGCAATCTCTTCACTTGGATTACAGCCGACCTGAACACAAGAATAGAACATTGAGCCCCTGTGAGAAATGTCTCCCATAGTCACATTTTATCAGAAAATTAAAATTAACTTATCCAAAACTTGACAAGGGTTCATGTGAATGGGACGCTTCACTTTGTGAAGAAGGTCACAGGGATAGTTACAAAGCTTGATTAGATCCTTACCTTATTAAAACGGTCATTGAGGCGGTCCCAAAGTTTGATAAGTCCCTTACCTTGTTGAAATGGTCACTGAGATAGTGCCAAATACGTGACCATTGCAGACGGATACGGCCCATGTTGTAGTACGAGATTTCCACAATTTTTTGCAAACTGAACATACGTGGGTGGGCTGTACTAGCAAGCTCATCCATCGAGACTTGACATAACGCTCGGGTAAACTCCACTGTCAGAAGAACAAGTGTCATACAAGTTACAGTTAAACATTTCTAACATCTGGCCAGTTAATAGCATTAATGATTTTTTGTCAGATCAAAAGAAAATAAATCTTTATAAATTTATTAACCAGAGAAATGTGTTTGTGTAAAGTTTTCTCTCATCAAGATTAAATTATTGATGTCATCATCAGAGCAGTGTAAAAGGTTCTTCTTGCAGCATGAGTCTCATTTTAAAGGCTTACAATGTGTGTGACCCACCAATAGCATCTCCATCAAGTTTCACGGAGCCAGTAAATATTCTGTCCACTGCCACAACAACACTCTGAGAGCTTGTCTCTCCTACTGTTTCCTGGAAGTTGGCAAGTCTTTGCCTGTCCATGTGACCCATATTTCCTTTAACAATGGCTGAAAATGAACAAAGAATGGTAATGTTAACAATATTTCTTGCTTCAAATCAAACTCATTTTCACAATTGAATATTTTTCAAAGATGTCATTATTTATTTTCAAGACTTGCAGAGTTAAAAAAAACCCATTCTAAGCAAGAAATCAAAGGTTACCTTCAGGATCATGTGCCTCCACTGGATTACTAGAGTGGGGACCACTGGCAATGTATTTTGTCTTCACACCTGTGCCTATTAACTGAGCTAGTTCAAGTTGGGAAATACAGCGCAGAATCTAGTAAAAGAAACAAAATTTAGTTAAGACTTTTCTGACTGTTCAAATTTTAAAAATGTGGTTAAGCCATTTAAAAAAAAAAGTTTTAGAAATTTCTTGCAGACTCACTAATAAAGTTAAAATATTTATCTTCTTTGTTTTTTAAGGCGCCGTAGTAGTTTGTCTAGGAAACAAAAGGAGGACGGTACAGCAATAATAGTTGAGCCCACGAAGCGGTGCCGTGTCTCTTCTGATACTGACCTCAAGCCAAGACTTGCCCAGATAGTTGCCATCTGTATGGGCAACTGATATCAAAGTCTTTATTGTGTCAATGTTCTTGGTCTTCATTTCTGTGATGGGTGTGGCACAGGTCAGCAGAGTGAATCTGGCCAAGGCTTGCACATAGGCATCTCTTTCAAGCTGAAATATTTTGTTGGAAATTTGATTTAAAAATGTCTCACATAGTTTTAAGACGTTGAACAATGCCAAGCACATACTTAAATCACTAAATTGCATTCAAGTGCCTACAAAATTAGATGATTGCATCTCATGTAATTTATCAAATTGTTAAAAATATCGTGTTCCACTATTTATTGACCTAATTATAAAACTTATTTGTGGTTTTAAGTCAAAGAAATGGTGAAAATGTGATTGGTTAAATATTATTTAGGAAACTCTGATGTCACCTCCATATGAAAGATGCAAGCAATCCGAATAGCACAACGTATCCCATCTAAACATAGCAGAGCTATCTCATTGTCATCACAGTCTTGTAAACCAACACTGAAGGCTGCCAAGAAAGGCGTCCAGGCAAGCTGTCATATAAAAGTAATATGTTACAGATATTCTATTTATTAACAAGATAAAATTATAATTATTTCGTTATGTGTGAACAATATTCAAACATAAATTTAAAAAATGATATTTCAATACATGATAAGAGTAAACTAACATTTTAAATAGTTTGAAGAGCTTTTTGTTTATAAAAATATCTAGAGAAAATTATGCAAAGTATAGCAAAAAGAGAAATGTAACCATTGAAGAGTTAAAATAAGTGCATTCGAATTTTATTTTGTAATAGAGCTACTTAATAATATTTGTCAATTTCAATTATTTAGAATAAGCCAAAGATTTATGCGGCAGGAGTTAAATAGCATTTACCTTAAACATTGGCCTGACATGTTCCAGATGAGTGGCGCTGGTGAAGCTGACCTGACAATGGCTGACACTTTCCATCAGAGCCTTGGCTGTCTGGGCCATGTGTTCCATCTCCAAATTGTACAGCAGACGTCTTTGTTTGTCAGATGTGATATCTTCTAGAAAAGAAAGTCAAATTATTCACCCAGACTGGTATAAGTATACAGTACATATTTATCATTTTTTGAAAATAAACAGTGGAAAAAGATATCTTTGAAAAAAGACAGGACGATTACAAGGCTGTTTCGGCTGATTGCCTTTTTCAGCAGACAGGACAAAACAAAAAACAACAAATAGAAATTAAATGTTCATGTGTCCACAAAGATTGTGATCAAAATGTAGTTCTCTCTGCATCTGTTTAGAATGCAGTCGCTCATATAACATCATTTATTTTCTGTTAATGAGAATACATTTATGAAATGCTATTTTTGTTGCAGTTTAATTTTGATTTTTAAATTTGGTGCAATTTATCAAAAGCATTTGTTAAAAGTTGAATATTTAAACCATTCCTTACATTGTTGAGCAAAGAGAAGACAAAAATTCTTCAGCTTGATAAAATAAAAAACAGAAAAATATATTCTAAATAATAATTTTTTTATATTGAATAATTTCACAACAGCAAAACTTACAGGCTGTAGAATGAAAAAAAAGAATAGTCATAAAATAGTTTAAATGAGCATTAGATTTCAGTCTTCAAAATAAAAAATGAACTAAAGAATAAATTAGATGTTCTAAAACTTAATAGCAATATAATGAATTCAAATCTTACTGGCTGATGTATTGGGTTTGATCCCGCCACTGTGTGCTTTCATTTTTATCTCCTTCCCTGCTATCTGGTCATAGATGGCGGAGAGATAGTCAGGAGGTAGGTCCTTGCTGTCATTGATACCCCGGTTCATGCGGATATATTGTTCTTTAGTCATCTTAGAGCTGGGTTTTACCTAAATGAAAATAAGCCAGATTGTATTTTTTTAAATAATGTATATTAAGCTATTCTTGTTATTTTGTTATGGTTTAAAATTGTTATCTTATCACAGTGATTATCCATATGTTAAAAATGAATATGTACAAAGTAATCAAAACACATTTTCATTTTTTAAAAAAATCAATAACAGAATCTTATCTTAATAAAAAATAAATATCTTTTACAAATTTTATATGCTCAACTTTTTATTTCCTTATTTTTCAAACCAAATGCAAACAAAATAAATAATAAAACATGAATTATATTATTAGCGTTTATTGATCATTATCTCTATATAGCCAGTAATTATAGTAGTCTATTTGTTGGGTGAAAATATATTTGTAAAATGAAAAATATAATAATTAACGTGAAAAATTATAATATTTATTGTGAAATGGCAAAACTTAATTACATAAACTAATTATCTGTATCTTATTAGATTGAATAGCAAGTTAACTTAATCTTTAATTGTCCGCTAATAAATACCTGAGGATTATGGAGGTCAGTAGTCAACATTATAACAGAAAATGCAAGCACGTATGCAGTGTCGGCACTGGCAAAAATCTCTAATCTGCAAATAAAAAGTATTTAAAGTTTATTTTAAAAGTCAGCGATGACACATGTGGCTTGGTGTCATCAATCAAGCATCAACAGCTGATTTTCTCTGTGTTTGTTTGTACCCGGGTCAACATACAACTACTGGTGAAGCAACTTGCACTACCAGTAAATGGACGTGCCCCGCATTCAATGCACCAAATTCCAACGAAACAAGCACTGACCCATGGGTTAGTGGACTCTGCGTTTTCAAACAAAGTTTTATGGCTTAAGTTTCTTGACTTTAAAGTACATACAGTAGGTAATGTCTTTTTATATTTCTCTTCAAATAGCTCTGCCACTTTTGTTTCAAACATGGTACCCCTTTACGATCACTTATGCACGAGTGAAAAAAATTCTCAACTATGAATACTTATTCCTGCATTGAGAGACCCATTTCCAAAAAAAAAACTGTCAATGGGAACGTAGGGCGGCTGTAGTTATGCACCCTTTACACAGACGCATAATCGTTAAAGGTAAGTACTGCATTTTTTTACCCACTGTATTTTCTTGTTTTCATATGTTAACTTAATCTAATTACTAAAATTTTGAGAAGAACCATACAAATATTAAAAAAAAAAAAAATAGAGTAGGGGTCTACAATCTTACAACATACATATATTAGAGCAGGGGTCTGCAGTCTTATAGCATACAGGGAAACATTCAATGACAACCAGACCAAAAATTATACTAAATGACTAAATAAATGCATCTTCTACTTAGAAGGTAGGTTTATTGGTTATTGGCAGGCTGGATGAAGTAGAAATCCTACTTTGGGACAAAATTAATAAAAGGTTGCAAAAGAATGGTCTAAAATGATGAAAATAACTTGTACCTACCCTTGGTTACATTCGTAATATCTGGAGGCAAATTTTTCCATGAGCCTGTCGATTTTCTGTGATTCACCAGGCAGTCTAAAGCCTTCCAGAAATTTTCTTAATGCAGATACAATATCTAAGTCTACAAAGTCCATTTGGTCAATGTATGCGTACATCACTTCCTTGTGCAATCTAAACAAAAGAAATTATTTATTTTTTAATGTTTTCTGCTTGTGGGGTACAAATTTAATAAAGGAACAAAAAAAATGACAACAAAAAATAAAAAAGGGAAAAGCCAAAGAAAACATCTAACAAATTTTTTAATCAGGTATAAAAAAAAAATGGTATGTCAAAAATCAAATATTTAATATAGAAGCTTACTTTTCATTTTCCCCGAGAAAATCACCCACGGCCGTCTGAAAAGAACAAAGCCAAACATTATCGACTTGTTTGATCTTACATCTATAAACATACATTAATCTATACATATTACAATGGATACAATAGGTTCTCAAGTTGGGTGACTTATCAATTCTAATTCTGATATTGACTCTGTGGTATTTGACTTGTACCTTGTCCAATCTCTCCTCATTATGGAACAATTCAGCAATATCTTCTGGTGACTTGCCCAGCATCTCTTGTTCCTGGAGGTAATGAATACCTTTCAGAGGTTTCTTGTTAAATCTGTTCAAGTAAATACAGGTATCAAACTTTAACCTAACCGTAACTGTGTTATGTAGACGACGTGTTTACATCATCTTTCCCTGTCAATAAACTCTAGCTGACCCCAAGCTCGGAATTGGCATTTAGGGTGTGCTATGGCTAATTAAAAATAGTCTCTCTTGACTTTGTTTACATCATCTTTCCCTGTCAATAAACTCTAGCTGACCCCAAGCTCGGAATTGGCATTTAGGGTGTGCTATGGCTCATTAAAAATAGTCTCTCTTGACTTTGTTTACAACTAAATAAAATCTATAGTCTGTATTATTAGAATTCTATAGATAAATCTGGACAAATCAGGAAAGGAAAACAATGTGTAAGCCCGTTCGAGAAATGTCTTTGAAACAGGCTATATACATATATATATATATATATAAAAATAATTAATGAGCGACAGGAAGGAAGGGGGAGATATTTTGCTATCACTATAGAGATTTGCTATACGAGACAGAGATTTTTTTACTAACATTTCCTGTGTGTGTGTGTGTAGATCCTCTTTTTCATCATTGTACCTTTTTACAACATTGTATCTCCTTCAACATTGTACCCGTACAAGCTGTTGTGAGCGAGAGTTGTTGTGAGTGTTGGGTAGGGGGAGTCGTTAATCGTGGGAGTGTTTTGTGAGTTGTTGGTCGAGAGGTCAGAGCGTGAAAGCGTGAAGTTAGTCCGTGGTGTGGCACGTTTGCGTAGGCTGAGTTGTTGTGTGGTTTTATAAAAGGGATGTGTGTTAGCTAGAGGTCAGTCAGAGTTAGTAAGAGTTAGGCAGAGAAAGTCGGAGTCAGTGAGAGCAAGAGAATTGATAGTAGCCAGAGATAGAGTGAAGTGGATCTTGTTTTATAAAGAACCTAATAAACATTCTGTATATATATGTTACATGAGACCTTTGCATTCTATGTCATACAACCGTAGACAACGGAGGGAGAGCCGTAACATTTGGAGTATAAGAAGGTCGTAACATTTGGAGATAGTTGAAGCTTAACCAAGGTTGTAACATTTGAAGAATAACAAAGATCGTAACACAAGCCAATCAACATACTTGAAGTCAATAGCTTTAATTTATTTCTTTTTGATTTTGTAATTTATTATTAACATAATAAAATTTATTAATTGTAATTAGCCATTGTTTGAGTATTGTTTTCTTCGTTATTGTATTTAATTTATGGTATCGTCTTTTGTTGTGTACTGTCTTAGAATGAGCCATATACTTAAATAAGAAATTAATTTCTCCATACTGACAACAGTCGGTAAAAGTAACAAAGTAACACTGTCTAATCCACCACAACAACTGTGTACTTTACATGTTGTTTTTCTACTTACTCATCACCTATTCATTCAATTTACTGATATTAAAAGATTTTATATTGAGAGCCAAATCTACTTGCTGCAGCTTAAATACATTTGTGCTTGGTTACTCAAAAAAATAAAATATATGAAAATGCAGATGTTTTAAAGTTTGCAAATGCTACTGTACCCAATGAAAGGTTTTAAAATAAATCCTCAAAAGCTGTTCTTGATTAGTTTTAATCTACTATCTAGATATAGTAATATCTAACAAAACAAACCCTTTTAGCTCAGTGAACAATTACATTTATAAGAACTTACAACTCAATACCGATCTCCATGACTTCTTTCTGCTGCTTTAGGACCTCAAACTGCTCTGGATTGTCAGCAGAAACATTGCCAGGAGCTGAGCTCCCCCCAAGAGTTGTTGTAGTGGGTGCACTGGAGGTGGAGCTCAGAGAGTTAGTGCTGCCATAGCTGGTCATGGTCCCACTACCTGAATCATTGTCTGTCTCTGTGAACGGTTTGCTGTCTTGGCCTACAACATAAACAGTATCGATCAAAATATCTTCCATTGTCTGTCTCTGTGAATGGTTTGCTGTCTTGGCCTACAACATAAACAGTATCGATCCAAATATCTTCCATTGTCTGTCTCTGTGAACGGTTTGCTGTCTTGGCCTATAACATAAACAGTATCGATCAAAATATCTTCCATTGTCTGTCTCTGTGAACGGTTTGCTGTCTTGGCCTACAACATAAACAGTATCGATCAAAATATCTTCCATTGTCTGTCTCTGTGAATGGTTTGCTGTCTTGGCCTACAACATAAACAGTATCGATCAAAATATCTTCCATTGTCTGTCTCTGTGAATGGTTTGCTGTCTTGGCCTACAACATAAACAGTATCGATCAAAATATCTTCCATTGTCTGTCTCTGTGAATGGTTTGCTGTCTTGGCCTACAACATAAACAGTATCGATCAAAATATCTTCCATTGTCTGTCTCTGTGAATGGTTTGCTGTCTTGGCCTACAACATAAACAGTATCGATCAAAATATCTTCCATTGTCTGTCTCTGTGAATGGTTTGCTGTCTTGGCCTACAACATAAACAGTATCGATCAAAATATCTTCCATTGTCTGTCTCTGTGAATGGTTTGCTGTCTTGGCCTACAACATAAACAGTATCGATCAAAATATCTTCCATTGTCTGTCTCTGTGAATGGTTTGCTGTCTTGGCCTACAACATAAACAGTATCGATCAAAATATCTTCCATTGTCTGTCTCTGTGAATGGTTTGCTGTCTTGGCCTACAACATAAACAGTATCGATCCAAATCTCTTGTTCAAAATAAAAAAAATAGTTCAAAAGTTTTTTATGACAGATTACATGTTATGTCATTTTTGTGTAAAATTGAAAGTGGTTACACATGATAACATATTGGGGGTTAGGGTTTATGAGTACATGTTTAGTAATGTGCACGTCTAACTTGGCCATCAGTTGTGTAAGTTTATGTTACCACCATTATAAGTTTATGTTACCACCATTATAAGTTTATGTTTCCACCATTACACTGGACGGATGAATGCACAATTAAACATAAATGTTTGAAGCTATTGGTAGGTTGGAGACGCCACATTTCAGTTAGGGACTTAAGTGGGAATGCTCCGTAGAGCTGAGGTCATTAAGCAGCTTGCAAATGCAATGCTATACATGTATGGGAACTACACAGATAGATGATTCTTACAAGGTGAATAGTTTGAAAGAATTTGATCAGCAAATCTATTCTTAGCTTTCAGGCCATACAAAAAGAGTTGGCAGAGCATAGCAGGATGTAATGGACAGACCCCCTGATCTATGTTTCCAGAGCGAGACTCAGTGTTGCTGACATTTAATTAATCTGAGGATCACTGTCCCAATTTACCCATGATTACAGACAATTACAAGACTAAAAGTCAGCGTTATTGGTGACATTTAATTATTAGGAGCATTGTCCTGATCAGCCCATGATAATTACAAGAACAGGACAATTTGAGAGCTCGACTGCTACTCTATCTAAGAAGTTGGACTGCTACTTTACCTAAGTCAGACTTATACTGTACCTAAGCTGGACTGGTAATCTACTTATGTTGGACTGTTACTGTATCCAAGTTGGAATGTTACTGTACCCATGTTGGAATGTCATTGTGCCCGAGTTGGACCATTATCATACCCATGTAGGACTGTTACCATACCCAAGTTGGACTGTTACTGTACCCATGTTGGACTGTTACTTTACCCAAGTTAGACTGCTACTGTACCTAAGTTGGACTGCGAGTGAGGATTGATGTACAGGTCTTTGCTCCACTCTACCATACATTTTAAAATGGACACCAAGCAATGAAGGCCTTTGATTCTCATGCTTTTCTCCTGGTTCAGTGTAGCACCTGAAAGACAACCACTCAAAGAATTAATTCATCTCTTTGATGAAATACTGTGGCAAGTTTAAGGATTAGCCGAGACATTGCCCAATATAGAAATAGAATTGATCAACACAAGCCACACAGTTGATTCAGTTTGTATTAAGTGGGTAACAGACATACCTTTAAACAATAACTGTGTTGCTTATTTAAATTTTTCAAATGAAAAATTATTTTATTAAAAATTTTTTAACGTAAATTTAAGATTTAAAAAAAAAAAAACAGCAGCATAAAAAAAAATGTACAAAATGAAGGACTGCTTACAAGCAGTGTTAAGTAAAAATTATTTTATTAAAAATTTTTTAACGTAAAATTAAGAATTAAAAAAAAAAAAACAGCAGCATAAAAAAAAATGTACAAAATGAAGGACTGCTTACAAGCAGTGTTAAGGATAAAGTTGAATAAGGTATGTGGAAGCTTGAATTAAACAGGACAATGAGGCAGAATGAAATTGAGTGAAGCACATGTCATCAACTTTTTGTTTGAAGTTGGTTTTGCAATTCAACATTTTTTTCCCAGGAATTTTTTTCAAACAGCAAAATTAGGAAATGGTGTGAGGTAATGCAGTCAGCCGATAACAAATATTTTTGACCAAACATGAAATAGAAATAAGTAAAAATGATAAGCAAACCTAGTTCCAGTGCGTGCCTCCCCTGAGCTATCTTGGATAGGTCATTGATAAGGCGTTCAAAAATGTTGGCTAAGGCCAGATCACAGTCATAGTTGAGGTAAATATCCACAACACTCTGGGCATCTAGGGAAGGAAGATCACGCAAAATGGTCAACGACTGAGTCATGCATACTTTGTTAGAAGAGTACCAATGAGAAAGTTTTTTAAAAATCTTGAACGATGGTTCAAATGTAAGCATACAAAGTGCTGAAATAAACAATAATCTTAATATGCTACTCAATGACAGTTCAAAATATAGCATTATGTTGATATAAACAGTAATCTATGGTTTAACATCAATCATTCTAATATAAGGGCATGTTGACACAGACCACTGACCTGCACAAATTCTGGTCAGAGCCTGGATGACCATCCACTTGTGCTCGAATGAACTACTGGGAGTCTCCAAAATGTAGAGAAAAATCTCTTTAAAAAACACCTGGAATACAGAGAATAACATTGACAGCAAGGAATAGAGGGTATAGAAACAGACAAGCAGACTGGGTCAATATATATAGCACCGTTGGAACTAACAACAGATATTACTAAGATCTAAAGCAGTTCATACCATAAAAACAGAGAGGTAGAAATAATGTTGCCCAGTAAGCACATTGGATTTGATCAAAGTTGACCTTTACTAATCATAAATTGTTGACAGATTTAAAAAACAACAACATGGCCTTTATGAAATATTTAAGGGCTAACCTCAATTTGCATTTTGAGATGTTGCTTGAAATTTGCAAGTAAAGTAATAAATATAGCAAGGGAAAGTTCAAAGACTTCTGGGACAGAGCTGACGCCATTCTTCGACAAGGCCACACATAAATACTGCTTAATGGCGTTGATAAACATGGAGTTGGTGCGAAACACCGGGCCAGCACTTTGCAGGATGGAGAGGAGGAGCTGCAGTGACAACACTTTTGAACGCAGTTCATGAGATCTGAAAAGTTAGAAAACAAATTGTTGCTAGAAGTCTATTGGATCAAATATGAAATGGGTTGAATGATATCAGTCCACCGATGACTAGATGGAAAGGTTTAGGATTGCCTTGATTATAATATTCTTTTTAAAATACAATCCTGGACTGAATTGCATTGATTCTAAAGATATGTTTACATTTAACAATATACAGTTAGCAATGGTTGGGTAGGGCGAACCAGCTGCTAACACATTTTGGTAAATTATTGAGTTTTTTTAAATATAGGAATGAACATATGGGGGGGGAAATCTTTCTCATCCTTTGTTAATAGATACATGGGAAAAGGGAAGGAGGAAAATGAGAATAGAAATTAATGTACATGCAATGGAACACTGAGTCTATTCCAATGAAGTCAATGCATATGACATCTCAATGCAAACTTTGGTGTGAGTAAACCACAGAAGCTGCTGTTAAATGTCGCACTGGAACTGGTATTTAACGTTTCGAAAACACATGTGCCAACCTATCTTACTTTGGATCAGGCGGGCCATCTCCCAGTGGTTTCATGGAAAGTTTGCATAGACTTCTAAACACGAGAAATGCATCTTTCTGTAGAATGTGACTAAATGCTCCATGGAACTGTTCTCCACCCTCAGCACTATCGTCAGGGGATGCAACTGTTCCTGGACAAAAACAAATTACTTTAAAAAACTGCTTCTCTTAATTTACTTGGAAAAAAATAACTAGTTTTAAGAATTTTATGTATGATTTCAAAATAATTCCATTGCCAGTGATGGCCAGCATGAAGTGAATTCCATAAAGATATTCTTATATGCAGAAGATAAAGAATATGTACACATTTAAGACTACATCTTAAAGTGTGAACATTTCATAGGATCGCATTTTATTCGAAAGATAACAAAGTTTCTAGCTTAGAGAACTGGCAACTATAAAAAGTTAAACTTTTTTAAAATCCAAGTTGTGTTTTGAGAATTAATATATAATAAGTAAACAAGTAAATTAATTGTATACATAAGATTAAAAAAAAAAAATGTTTAATTAAAATATCAGATGCTTTATTATTTTTTTTCTTCTTTTGATCCAATGAGTTTTTGTTTGTTTTAAATTTGAACATTTTTCCTTTTGTTAAAGTTTTATTCACATTTATTTAACTGCAGGTTGGCAAAATGGTGGACAAACATGTTAGAGGCAAAAATGGGTTTTAAAAATTTCAAACATGCTAAGAATCATTCAATAGTAATCCATAAAGAAGCTGCACCATGGCAGCATTAAAGTGTCACCTTCTGCAGAGCTGGTCAACACAGGTGAAGGCTGGACTTCCTGGGGCCTCTCTTCTTCAGCTGTGTTATTTGATGGAGTCAACTCACTGTTTTTTTTTAATTCAGCCACCTCACTGACAGGCACACCATTAGGACTAACAGTTGGTGCCCCATCATTAGTGGCTTCAGGTGTGTCACCATCAAGATCTGATTGAAAACAGTGATTGGAAACAAAGAAAACAAAAGAGGAAAAGGTTAAAAAAAAAAAAAAAAGCCATTCCATATAATTGAATAGAATCACCCATGACCTATCACAGTGGTTCTAAAAGTGGGCGCTTTCTTGCTTGGTGGGTCTTTGGGATACTTGATTAACATAGGGGGGACTGGTGAATTTCAGGAATACATTTTTAGAAATCAATTTTGATTGTCTGCATTAAATAAAATTCATGCTTTGATCTCAGCAAGAGATCATTTTGGTCAGACACAACCAAACTTTCAAAAAATAAACTAGTCATGGTGACACCTCAGATGGATTTTTCAGACTTTTATCAGACGCTCTAGATGAGACCTGTAACCAAACTTTCAAGCAGTACACTAGTCATGGTGACATCTCAGAAGGATTTTTCAGACTTTTATCAGACTCTCTGGATGAGACCTTTAACCAGACTTTCAAGCAGTACACTAGTCATGGTGACATCTCAGAAGGATTTTTCAGACTTTTATCAGACTCTCTGGATGAGACCTTTAACCAGACTTTCAAGCAAACGTGCAAGTAGCTGGTGACAATTATCGGATAGGACCAATAAGGAAAACTTTTAATTTGATTCATGTTAGAACCAGTTAATTCATTCCCTTTTACCTCATTCATTGAGTTTGCATGTTACCAAGGGTTGTAAGTGGATTTCTGTGTCATCAAATTAAAGTATTTTAAATTAGACCTGAAAACTCACACCAAAAGGTAAAATTGATCAGGCAAGTACAGGAATGTGGTAAAATTGATCAGGTGAGTATAGGAAACATATCATTTGTTCCAAACAAATATATCTGCTATGTTTATGTCTTTTCTAGGTTCAATCCCCATTAGAGAAAATATTCTTCAATTTCTTAAACCAGCTAGTGTTAACAGCATTCTGAATTCAGTATTCAAGTGTCCAGTGTGAGCTCAGGGAGACTATACAATTAACAGTGAGCTTATAAACCAGAATAAACCATTTAAGAAATTGGAGGCTTTTTTTTAAAGGGCAATCTACTCTGTTTTACTAAGATTACCAGCTCAAGTTTATCCATTTACTATTAATTAAATACAGGAAAAATGTTTGATTTTAACTTAATTATAATTAGTTTTTAAATATAAATGTTACTATTTATATTTTATTAATTCCTTGTGGGTGGTATGGATACCAAAATGAATAATGCTTAGTTACAATGGGGTAAGTTGGTGGGGGGTGGGTCGGTGAGAACCACTGTTCTAAACATGCAGATATTCATATGTAGGAAACAAACTATTTAAAAAAGAAAAAGGCTGCGTCAAACAGTTCTGAATTGATCTGATCCATAAGATCTTAACAGTGATTGATCTGATCCATAAGATCTTAACAGTGATTGATCTGATACATAAGATCTTAACAGTGAACATTATTTGCCTTACTCCTAATGATTGAATGGCTGATGAAAAAATCTTAATTAAACCCATAAACATTGTAAGACTTTATTTTTCATTGCTAAACTGGCATGCAGATGTGGTATTTTGAAATAAGAAGTGAATATCTGCATTCCATTGGTCAAGAGAGTGATCAGTTTGAAATAGATATACATGCACATTCCTGATACTGGAGAACATTTATATTCATTTAAAACTTCATTTCTTTAATGGTATCTATTTCCAGTCATGAAGACTTCATCTCACAAAGCTAGTTTCACACTAACCTTGTCTACAAAAGCAAAAAAAAAAGTAACAAAATAATGTATTGAAAGCCAAACAAAGATGCCAAGACCATTTCAGCTCAAGCTATACAAATTGAAAGATCAAAATAAATGCTTCACCTTTAGCTACATTTTGAACAATTTCACTCAGAATGCTGGACACAATAGTTTCTGCTGTTTGTGATTCTGTTGTCATGGACTCAGAGTCTACCGGTCCTTCACTTCTAGAAGGCAAAGCCTCATTGGTGGCTGCTGAAGCCTCACTGTTGGCTGCTGATTCTGCATGAGCCATTTCCTCTAAAATGAGTTTGATAAAAATACAAATGAGCCAAACTAACTAATATCAGAGTATAGTCGTTACATACACATATTTTCAAATTTTAAGCTATCATTGACCCCAGTAGAATTTTTTTTCTCCAGAAAATAAGTCTCTGTAATGAACTTCCGACATTTTGAAATTGGTGACTTATATTCTTAAACGTAAAATTTCATTTAGTGACACGGAATTTCAAGCTTAAAATATTTACTTGCAAATTAGATTTTAAAAAATCAAGTGCAATTCTAATTTTAAAATTGCAACATGTTAAAAAGTAAAATTCATCTCTTTAAAGAAAAAATTAAGTTCCACTCTTTAATAGAAAGTAACTTTAGTATATCCCCCAAAGAGATATTACCTTGTTGAGGTCCTTCTATTCCATCAATGCCATTCTCTTCATGGTTGACCGAGACCCCTTCATCAACACTTTCCTTCTTCTCCTGAAATTAAGGATAAGTTACAGAAGTCAGCTAGGTAACAAAAACCTGGCAATTAAGAAAAGTAAGCTAATATTTCAGCAGCGAGCTGTATTTGACCAATGAAAATAATAATTTTCATAACATTTAAATTAAATGTAACTTTTAAAAAACCCACAACAGGTATCTGTCAGGAAATGTATCTTTAACACATATAAACAGGCATATCAACATGATTTTACTTATCCCAGTAACGGACTTTCTGTTTGTTAAACAACTAACCTCTATTTCTAGTTTCTTGCTATCCTCTCTCTCTGTGCGTTCTTGTGACTTTTGATCTTGAGACTAAGAAGAAATGACAAAAATGAAATGAGTTAACTTTAAATGGTACCTCATCAAAAATTATTGGCACATCTTTTTTTTCTATTAAATCTTTCAATCTTACGTTAATCTACATTACATGAACTTAGCTTGCCCACTCGGTGTAAACAAAAACATTACACTGAACAGAAAAACCGAAAAGGCGGTTAGATGATATAAGGTTGCTAATTCGCAGATTTTCATCTATCGTGGGTGTCCGGGGGGGTGGGGGGGTGTGTGTTCCTGGAACTAACACCCCCAATAGAAGAGGGATGACTGTACATCTTAATCTTTTGAGGCAAATTAAACCTATTTTCAGTAGGAACATAATTAGTGACAACAATTCAAATGTTTGGATTCTGTAAAACATCTTTATAGGTATAACTCACGGCTTGGGCTTCCATGCGACTGAAGATGACATTGAGCATCTGGGTCAGGGTTGCTTTGGCTGTCAGTCTGTTCACTAGATTTCTACTGGCCAAGTAAATATTGTAGCAGGTGCGAACTGTCTGAAGCACAGTACCCTCATGGATTTCACACGTTGTGGAAGTCACTACAGTCAGGAGTGCCTTGAAGGAAACATTTTAATGCAAAAGAATAGGGTAGCTTTTCATTTTAATATAGGCTTTTCATAAAATAATGTTAAATTTTAGGCAAAGAATCACTTGCCCTCTAAATGTAGGTGGTTGATTGTGAGCCTAAAGAAGAATTGTGTTTGCTACAGCATACCCCCAAATGATATTATTATTTTATTGATATCCAAAGTAAAACATTTAGTCATTTCTTATTGAGGACCTGTAATAATTTCATTCAACTTTGCGATCTTCGTTATAAATATTAACTACAATATATTCGAGAATGCATGTATTTGTCAACATTAAGAAAAATTCCTAAAATGGTTCCAAACCTTTATTATCTGTAACTGAACACCCTCATCCGTCTGTGGCCCATTGAAGCACCCACAGATTGTCTCTACTATACGGTCTATAAGGCGTTTCCCTGGGGCTGTTGAGTCTGGGGTATTGCCTGTCAAGTGACCATAGGCTATAAGTTTCTGGAAATATAAATGATGAATAAAGAAACAAAATTAGAGTCAATAATAAACAGAACCTCATTGAAAGCTACATCTAGAATGTGAACTGTTTCAGTATTTAAACAACATGAGTCTAAAGGTATTGACAAACATCTTTATATCACCAGATTATCATGGTTATATATTTTTTTTAACAATCATTCTTTGAGGTAAATTTTAAGCATTCAGTAAATGAATTGTGTATGGAAATTTTCTTTTTTTTTTCTTTTCCTCTCCTCTTTTTATGAACAAGTATGAGAGAAGAATTCCATTTTTAAGAAGGAAAAAAATTACCTGAAGACAATCCAAGGCTATGTTCACTATTCGTGGACATTTTGATTGACACGCTAACTCAAAAGGAAGAAAGTATTTATCTGCCTCTACAAAACCAGCTTGTTTGGGAACTGGCAGTGCTGATGAAGATTCTTTAGGCTCTTCAACACTGAACATTAGAAGAAAAGAAAAAGATTATGTGCGGGTGAAACTTTCATATCCGTATAATTTTTTAGTATATGAAAATACAAGACATCATATATACAAATTAAAAATCAACAACTGAATAACAGGGATTAATCTCCTTCAGAATAAACAGTAATGTTTAGATCTTAGACAAATAAAACTTTTGTATCAGACATAGGCGAAAATGGTCTAAATGATGGCAAAGATGAAACTTTATTTTTAGACACAATTTTGGTGGAGTTAACACACAAAGCCCAGTCCATTAATAGATAAAGTGATAACCACTAGGCAGCAAAACATAGGCATAAATTAACCTGGCTCCCCTATACATATTTTAAGTGTAAACAGTAGTGTGTCTGCATAGTTTGTACAAGCTCATGTGTTAATATTAATTGTAAGCAAACCTTATCGAACCCCAATAATCAATTTGATTGAAAGAAGAACTCAAAGCAATAAGTTAACAGAATGACAGTTTTTAAGACTATTTATTAAGTATTTCAATAATAACTACATTTTTTGTGAAAATCTACCTTATAACTTAGGTGAAAGAATTAATAATAATGCTTATTTCAATATTCTTATCATTTTATATAATGATAATTGCTTGACTGATTGCTTTGCATGTAAGACTAGAAGTTAAATTTCATAACTTGTTAAACATATATAAATGAAATGGGTAAAAATCGCAAGGTTCGGGAACAAGTAAATGGAGCGTCAATATGTGAACATGGGTAACAACAGTAGTGAATTACGAGATTAATAAAAATTAATTTAATGTATGCCTTGAGCGCAATGGATTCGGAAATCTACTTGCATGTATTTATTTCATGAATTACCTGCACGGTGTATCATTAAAAGAAACAAATTTGTTTTGTTTTTTCTCAACATATCTTTCTACCAATTTCAATATCAAGATATAAATAATAACAAGTAAAAAATTTTCTCAGAGTATTCGCTTAGTAATATACAAGTTGGTTCTTTTTGGGAACAGATATTTCTTAACCCTTTATATTTGTTGAAATGAAAGTTTATGCAAGCATCAGATGAATGTGGTATAATTATAAATGGGATGAGTTAGAGACAGCACTTGAGAAAGAACAAAAATTATAACATCACTTACCTTTTCTTATTTTCATTTTTCAGCTCACCTAAATAGAAAAAAAAAGATGTTCCCAGTTTATAAAGATTTTTGATATGTTTAGCGATACATACATTAGAAATGATACAAATGTATAAAACTTTGAAAAAAATCAATATGATAAAAATGTTAGGGTGTGACATTTGTGCACAAATTGAAAAACCAGGTTGAAATGTGATCCACATCAATGTTCATCTGGATTCATGTCTGACCAGTATAAAAGATGTGCTGTTGTAGGTAAGCAAAACAGGACCAACTACCCGCCAGCCGCCACGTCATATGATTGTATATAAACTTAATTTTAAAGAACATTTTGATCGACCACACATAGAAATAGTCCCCCATCTTTATGTGAAATACATCCATCATCATGTCATTTTCACCTTAAACACAGGCATTTCTTAGTATTATAAGTTGCCTGAGGGTCAAAGATGACAAATTAACAATGATTTAAAATTAAAAGCTTAATTAAGGTAAATTTCAAAATAAATTAAGGAACCAGTGCCCCCATTCTCTTTGGGGTTGAGGGGAGAATAAGCCTTTGAATGTCCAGAATTATAAAAGACAGTTCCCCTCCCAAAGTAATTTTTCCTCTTGGCCTCCATGCCCAATATATTTAAATATTGGCCCTCAATAAACAGTGTTTGTCAACGCCTGTATTAGGCTTATAAGACATACAATTCCCCACATAAATAAATTAAATAATGTACTGGTTCATTGGAATGGATTGCACAATCTATTTACCTTAAATATCATGTTCTGGTTCATTGGAATGAATTGCACAATCTATTTAAATTAAATGACATGTTCTGGTTCATTGGAATGTATTACACAATCTATTTTACATTGAATAGCATTATCTGGTTCATTGGAATGCATTGCACAATCTATTCACATTAAATGACATTAATGTGCAAGTAATTTAAATTTACACTGTCAAGGTATGAGGACCACTGAGATTATGGTGAGAATCACAGATGAGCTGAGAGACAAGTCATGTGGTTGAAAGACAAGGTTTGAGATAAATACAGGGTGAGGTATAGCAGGGTGAGTTGTTGGCGTTGAGTTAGAGAGCTCTAGGATAAATGTTGTAAGAGTGACTGTTTTAGTGGCAAGAAGACTTTCAATACTGTTAAGGCAGCAGAGGCTGAGGCGTAGTTAGAATAATGTTTGGCACCCGGGGACAAGATTACCCCCCCCCCCAACCACTTTTTTTTTCAACCCATGTAGGTCTACCTTCGAGCCGTTTTCCTCTGGGGTTTTGGTGGTGCACCCTCTTCACTATCATTTGGCTTTCTTTTTTCTAAGTGTCAAGCCCAATGTAGCCCACCCCTTCTATTTTTGCTACTAAAGTGGGATCCTGATATAGACTATTACAATACTGGTTAGTTCCTATTCTCCATCCATATTTATCTTTTGTTCGCCAGTATATTTTCTGGAGAACTTTTCTCACCCATGTGTTTAATAGGTTTTCTGCTGTTGGGGTTAAAGTTTCATTTGCATATTTATTTATTTAGGCATTTTTATATAGCGCTTACCTTAAAGCTCTAAGCGCTTTACAATTATTAAAAACATGTAAACTAAGTAAAATAAAAATGAGACACTAGGATAGTAACTACTATACTATAGAAACAATTAAAATGGCTATAAAACGAGGACACTTTGGTCATATCACTTAGCAGCAACTAGTAATCATGATCCCAACCTGTTTCTGTTCTTATTTCCAACTATAATTGGGTAGGCACCATGCAGCTGTGCTCTTTCTAAGTTAGATATCATGCAAGACCTTTGTCTCCACATGCAGGTCTCCTACATGGTGGTGCTGTGCCCCAGGTAACACCAGGTGGTCTGTGGCACCGTCTCTTTATTGGCATGTCATTAGAGACATGTCGACTTGAGCCCCGGGAAGACAACAATCATCTAGATTTTGATGTCCTTCCTGAACACCATCAAACAGTTATTGATAATTAGTAATATTGACTTTGTGATGATAAACTTTGTCCTTTTCAGTAATCAAATTTTTAATCTGGATCATCTTTGCTATTTATTTACATTATATTTTTGTATAAATTTAAGCAATAACCAAGTGAATATCTACAAAATTTCATATATGGTTGGATATTGTTGCTTTTTTTTTTTACAACACTGCACACTGTGTTGAATTATTGTCACATTTGGATGCATGAAGAGGGGGCAATTTGATGGGTGTGGTTGAGGTGCCAGCTTGGTTGGACATGATCAGTGCAGAAACAAATCTTTATTAATTGTTCTTGTCTTTTAGACAATTAATGAGGTGTTTGTGCCAGGCAGATATGTAAACATAAATGTTCTCATGGAGCCCATAGCCACTCCATTAAACCATTCCTCTGGTAATGTTTTTTGGCTGAGTTAAATGATGCTGATATGATTAACTGTTCGTGGGATAACAAAAAGTTTTTTTTTAAATATATATATTTATCTCCCATTAATTTAATCTCACTCATTAAAAATTCGACTGCCATATTAAGTTAATAATCTGTTAAAATGTGATATAATTAAAATATGCTGAAAAGTGGAGGACTTATATTTGTTAAAATTATGAAATATTTTGATTGTTCACCTCAGATTTTGGGAATTGATCACTAAGCAAATTTCAACAATACTTAAGATAGAAACATAAAATTGGCACAGATGAAAAGCTAAAGTGCTTTCCAACTAGTCTAAATATGTTTTATTTATATCACAACTTTGAATTTTCACCATAATATCTTTTCAATTACGTTAGTCAATTTTTATTATTCTACATAGTGTCTCTTGCAATTATCTGTATTTTTACCTTACTAAATCTAAAATAAAAATCACATACTTTGCATTATAAAACTATTAGCTCAATATATTTATTTAAACATTACCAATGCATTTTCACTTAACTTTTTAATAATTTTAGAGAAAAGTTTTTGTTTTTTTTTCCTTCTTTTTTCAAAGATTCATTGTTTATATTCTTTAAACTTCTCAGCTCTTGCGTGGATCCAGTAAAGCAAGTTATTGACATTGTATCAAGAATAATAGGAACTGAACAAGTTGGTAAAGCTTTGAGTGAGGCAAAACTAGATGCCGCAACACTAATGAATGGCATTCCTCTTTAGTAAGTATATTTTAGATAATTTAGGATCTATTAAGTCTTATCAGTGTCCCTGTGATAATTAAACATTTAAATTAATTATTTTCTTAAGTAAATTTTATGATGGAAGCTTAAGAATAAAAAATATATCACCATCAAACAAATCCGAGCTCCCCAAATTAATGTGCTACTATTTTCTTTTAATATAAGCAAATCTGGGGTATTTTTTCAACCGTAAGTTTCCTTTAGCTAAATATAAAATGGTCTTTTGGGGGAGAGACTAAAATTAGGTTAGGTAGAAGGGAATAAGCAAAAAAAGTATAGGAAAACCTGAAAAAAGGATGCAACAAACAACTAACATTTCAACAAAAAGGCTTCAGCGAACAAACAATAGTAAAAATAATATAATAAAAAAATAAAAGAGTGGGAAGAGTTTACCATTTTAAAAAAAAAAACTCTTTCAAACGAAAAAACCCACCTTTTATCAAAAGCTACAGGTCATGTTAATCAATAGCTTAAAATCAATTAAGTATACAAATTAAATTTTATCAAGGTATACAATAAATTAATCTATTGTGAAATTTGATGCTTTTTTTCAAAAATAAAATAACTGTTTAAATCAAAATAACTTTAGTCCAGGACAACAGCAGCCACAAGTACCACAAAATCAACAGCAGCAACAAAAATTAGGTATGTAAATATTACTTTAAAAAATAGTGTCCACTGAGCACTTTGTTCAAAGAATTTCCTATTTATAATTATTTAGAGGACATGGTTTTGTAAAACGGAAATTCCTCTGCCATAGACAGAAAATCTGGGCAATGTTTTTCATTTATTATTATTATACATGGTTTTTATATAGCGTGGTATCCCCAGCCTATGGCTAGGCTCACCACGCTGTACATACAATTTAACAAACATAATCAAAAAAACTTTATTAATTAATTGACATACATTAATTAAATAAAACTAAACAAATTATGTACATTTAAAACTATGTACATCTCAAGACATGGATGACAATCAGTACCATCGTTTTTCGGTCAGAGGTGGGAATCAGTCAGGATATGCTTTTTAATAATCAGAAACTCTGGGCAAGGTTTTTCATTTATATGCTTTTTAATGTTTAGAAAGCCTGGGCAATGTTTTTCATTTTTATGCTTTTTAATAATAACCTGTTGCACTAGGAAAATATAGTCACAGTACCTCTGGGAATAAACAACAAAAATTCATACTACTTATCTTAATTTTGTTGTATTTTAATTTTCTCTCTTTTAGCAAAAAAGCAAGAGATACTATTAATGCCAATATTAGTTATATGTTAATTATTTCTGCTCTTGAATAAATATATCTTTTTATGGCTTTCCCAGTCCCTTTAATGTTGGACTTATCAAATGCCCTCAATTTTTTTCTATTATAGAGTAGTGTTTTTTTTTTAAATAGTCTTTTTGCCTTTTTATATTATTTCTGTGTAAAGCTTTAAAATGGTGCCCTTGGTTAGTGATGGCAAGATGATTTAATGTACACAGTCATTTTAGACCAAATTAGAGGACATTTTAGAAAATGACCTACCCAATAGTTAAGAGCTGTTTTTAATTCTTCAGAAATAACTACATGTATGAATTAGAAAGAAATGTAAACTTTAAATAAAATCTTAATTGCATATTCCATGAATTAAACATATTTCCCCAATACATTAAATTCAATAAATTGTAAAAGTTCTAAAACTAGACTTCAATTTTACCAGATGGATTTTCATATTCCCAGTCCAATTTTTTTCCCAGTATTTAGTCATGTCACCATATGCAAAATATATAATGAAATCAGATTTGAGGGACTCCCCCTCTTTCAACAACACTGGAGACCTATTTAATTAAAACTACTTATTTTTTACAACCATCATTTCCTTCCTTG